CTGACAAGTGCCAGTAAGCACGAAACCTAGGTACAGGGCTTCCTGCCGACTACCTCCGTCCAGCTAACATCTATCAAAGTGCATCGCTATGCTAAGTCGCCTAGTCTGGTGGCCACATTGCAAAATGATGAACAGAACTAGATCAGCACTTAGGACTAGACAACATGAAGTTGGTTACTCTCCAGTGACCAATCAATGTATTTTTAACTCCTTATATGCTATGAAAAAGCTAATCTTTTAAATGAAATATAGAACTCTTGAAATCTAACAATATTCGTTTCAACATACACTGGAAATTAGGAGGTCTCATAGAATTGTGATGAGATTCAAACCGCTCGTTTTTTGGTCACCCGCCTGAACCTTAAACAAATGTTAACCTAGAATAAGACTTTTTTGCAACTTCAGTGACTTTGTCTCTGAACATTTGGATAATTATCAGCTAAGGTTATGTAAAACAGTCTCATTTTGAATCTTTGTTGTTGCTGAACAGTCGAGATAGATAAAATGTTAAAACAGACTTGAGCCTAGATTTGAAATATCACAAGGATGAAAAACACCACATGAAATTTCAATAAGTTTGATAATATCATTGCAATCATTATTCTTCATTTAGGAAAAAAATATAGATCAGATGATTAAATTTTATGCTCTTAAAAGCTATGTGAAGCTTTAAAATGTAAGCATCATTCTGACTTCACAACACATTAACTTGTTCATTGGTATGCCATACCTCTATACAGTTGGCTATAGCCAACTAGACTAATATATTGATCAAAGGAATTCAGTCAAACAACTATTTTGGAGAAAAATTGTATAGAATTTTAAACTTATTTCCCAGGATTATCCCAAACAATAAATTACTAGATTTTGAAATTGTATATAATGAATTTCGTTAAATTTTAATTTGAATTACCTAGTTTACAAGAATCTTTACCGCACATTTTGCCTCTTTGCAAATTTCTAGAGGCCTGAGATTATCCTCAAGACATATAAAAGCTGATAATATTGAGTCACAACCAGGAATAAGTGCCTGTTTTGGACTATGAACACTCCCGGTTCCACCAAGTTGCTCTGGCCGAAGAGGGTGGGGAGAAAATCAAACAATGAGGTCCACTGTTTAAGACTCGAATACCTAAATCAAAGAGTCAAATATCAAACTAGTAATGAAAAGGTTTCCAGTCTCATAAATTTTAGGCTAAGAAGCTTGTAAAACATTGAAGCCCTAAAGTTTAACAATCAAAATACAGAAAGACAAACATTAAACGATTTGTAACGAGTAATTAGTGGGTTGCAAAGGGAATAAAAACTTTGACGTACATTAAAAAAGAAACAGCTACGATAAAAGCTATCATAGTTTCATGATTACGGATACAGACTCATGGTTTGCTCATGAAAGTTGTTACATTTACAAACTTTGAGAAATTTATCGATAAGTGCTCGTTAACAGAAATATGCAGAACATTGTTTTGGTATTCACCATGGATTGACATCAGTTGGAGAAACACCGAAAACCTGGGGGCGCTGGAAAATTGTTTCGTTCCAACATGGGACTCCTCAGCAGTGCGCACAGCTATCCAGTGTTCCCAAGTTTCCGGTGTTTCTCCAGCTAATACCAGTCCATGATGAATACTAGCCTGAAATCAGTAAATCCTCACAAACCTAAAAACTGAATTGTTCTTTTTGACTCAAGGAAACCTTGTACTCAGATAAGCTTAGTGAGAATACGAATCCAGTATACTTGGTGTGGTTAGTAAATGAAGCTACTGAAAAGTAATGAAACGAGAACAAACAACAGCTGAGATCACATAAGAAACTGCATCACTGAAAACATCAGCCATCTACCTGTAAGTAATCATCTTTGCCCGAAACTCGGAGGTTCATGTAAGTGTTATCATGCTAGAGAAATACCGATAAGCTATCATATCCAATGACAAACTACAATACAATAAGCAGACTCAACAAAATAGGAGAATCAGATTCATGTAGGAGTAAAATTTCAGCACTATGGTAGAGTATGGTTAGATTGTTTATCTGATGTAGTTTGAAACATCTTTCAGTAATACTATATCACGGTGTGCTATATCAAATATACAGCTGAATCAGATTCAGTTGCTCCGAATAACTCGGTCTCTTGATTTCATTGATAGCATATAACTGACAATTTTGACTTCTCTAGTACGATAAACTAGTGTTACAGTGTATAGTTCAGTCCTATAAAATTAGATAAAGCATTAACTGATTAATATTTACTCAGTTCAGCTGCCAATATTCTTCAAAAAAAATATGTGGTCATTCCATCAAATAACTTTAAACAATTATTAACGATGTTTCGTTTTTACTAACAGGAAGGTAACAAGCAATAGTCTTCTATAAACACTTTAGCAATGCCATTTAGACACCGTGCATAAACCTTTTCTGAACGAATTATTCACATGAAATAAATTGTCTTCCTGTGAGGGAAGCATGACTCATCTTCAGAATATACTCACCAAAAAGTGAAAATAGTTACCAAATTTTCCAGTCTGCATGGGAATTGCCCGAAGTTGATTCCACAAATTTGGGCAATCTTCTAAGGTGAGGGTAGAAGTCATGGTGATGTTGAGTTTTCGGAACTAAACGGTTAAATCATGAGGCTTTTATTGTCCTTCAAAATAGTATTGTTAGCTCTAACATCAATATGAAGTGCTACTTAACTAGCATTGATGCAGGGAAACTTGATTTTGTAGACATGTTTCTCATAAAAAGTCTCATTTTTTTTTTATTTCCCCGACTAAGTTGCGGGTATGGATACAAATTCATTCGATGAATTCTCAGGAAAGCCTAGATTATGTGATCTGAGTTATAGGCGGCTTGTAAAGGAAAACTGTTAACAGTCATCAGGACAAATAAGTGCATAGAAACTGACTTAGCTTTTCTATTGGAACCCGACTGAGAAGCTCAGAAACTCTTCCAATATATGCAATAGATTTACTCTTCTAAAGCTTTTCTATTCTTGTTATCGCTGAAAAACATTCTCAAATTTGAACGATTCCCATTGGTTGTTTCAGTGTTATTTGGCTGGTTATGGTTGAAAATCATTGTCTCCGCTATCTTTAGATGTTGACACACTGCTCAACTGTTAGAAATATTGAGACATATAGAGCCCTTATTTAATGATATATAACTTAGATTAAAAACAAATCCATTTTCTTAAACTGGGTATCAGCAGTTTAATTCAAATGATTGCAAACAAGATAGGAAAGTTTCACAACTGTTGCTCAAATACAAAACTTAGTGAATATTAAATGGAAAGAAAATATGTCAGCATTTGAAAACAAGAATTTTTGCAAAGAAACAACATTCAGTAGATTCCTGTAAAATGTATCTAAAACTCTAGAGAATTCTTATGTGTAAAAATTTTCAACTGCTGAAAGCCACACAAACACTCTTGTATTTACTCACAAATAAACCAAATAGCAGATAAACTGGAACAATAGGCTTGGTTGAAACCAAACTTTAATTAGTTTTATGATTACTCATTCCACATAAAGATTTACACTAGGATTGCTATTCAGTAGGAAGTATTATCTGCAACCTTATTTAAACCTTTATTTTGGTTGACAGAGGCCATCCATTCATTGTCATGGAAAAATACTTGCTTATTAAACTGTTCAAACTGTGAATAGCCTTTATGAGATATCACTAGTGTGAAAGAAGGGTGATACATCAGTCTACAGATCTGACTGCGTTTCCTCAACTACCTTTGATTATTATCCATTAGGAAGTATGGAAAAGAAGAGGTTCAGCGAAACAAGCAGCAAATATTGAAAAGAAGGTTTCATTCACGTTGAATTCAAGAGAAATGTAGTATGTGAGAAAACATATGAAAATCAAAGGAGCACTAAAATGAAGCCTTCCTTCAGGCAAACTTGTATTAGTATACGATACTGTATGCTCACTGAGTCAGTTCAAATCGGACAAATTTCCCGCTCATGTTATCTCCGAGTGGATTTATCAATTTACAGACAGCTATGGTAGGAATTACTTTGAAAAGACTTGGAGAAGGGGATTCATTCGGTTCGCTGAGCATATTCCGAAGAATTTGCGTCTGAAAAGGGAAAAGATTTTAACCAGTGAAATTGCTTGACATCTCATAGACATAGGATGTCAGGTTGATGACTCAAGGGATCCGAATTCATGAAATTTTTGAGTCGTTTTATCAGTAGTGAGTCACAACAACAACTTTCAAAAATGGTCCTCTAAAAAACTTAATGAGATTAGTAGATAAGAAAAAAGAAAAAGTAGTGAAATATGCATTTGTTTTCTATTTCGTAGATATACTTTAACGACTATATATATATCAATCTAGAAAATAAGAAAATAATTCAATAAAACATGGTTCATACCATACCATTTACCAAAGTACTTGATATCAAAAACTTTTCTCCTTAATTATGTTCTACCGGTAAACAGAATAAAACTGTTAATTCAATATTCATGATATACGTAAGTTTTTATATAATCCCAGCGTGTTTAGAAAATCGAAAACAAGATTTTTCTGAACGTTTCGTTGTGCATGCCACAGCGTCTTCAGCAGTATATTGGATTTTATGAAAGATCAAAACATATACTGTCAAAAGTACATGTAGACAGAAATTTCTACATGTACTTTTGACAGTATATGTTTTGATGTTTCATAAAATCAGAATGTACTGCTGAAGAAGCTGTGGCATACACAACGAAACGTTCATAAAAATCTTGTTTTCGATTTTCTAAACACGCTGGGAGTATATAAAAAGTTACCTATGTAATGAATCAACCTGACTCGGCGCTCAACTTCTTTCACGACATTCGTAAAAACTATGACCTGGATGTTTATAATGTTAATTGAATACTCCATAAAACTGTTAGCATGAAAATGTAGGAAGTAATGTCAAATAATAATTCCTCTGTTTTGCTTCCATTCACTTCAGTTTTTAGTGATCTTTCTACTTTAATTTCCGCTGGTTTAAATGTTTGTTTCATATGGAAGTCTTTCTAGATATTGTACTTGATTGTGATACAATTCGACTTGTTCTAATTTCAAGTTCATTTTTACTTAGATGAGTTTCTGAATGTTCACTTGGACAAATGGTTGGTATTGTCAAACTGAGTTTCTGTGAACATGTACAACAATAATAATTTATTGTTTGTATAAGGTATACTTGTAATGGACGAATCGTAAATATAAGTGCACTTGGATTGATACAACTATTCAGTGTTACAAGCCACAAACCAAACAGATGAGTAGTACAACCAATCTGATAGGATATCCATTGATGTATACCAAGAAAATAATAAATTCTGTCATATGAATGGGTAATAAGAAAGACAGATTGCATAATACATGTAGCTATTGTTAATGATTGGGCGATTTTCCGATGTCTCTTTTGTTTATTAGATAGTTTAACAATCTGACGAGTGGAGAGATTACGATTACAATTGGCATTGTTACTGTTGTCATCAGCACCACGGTTACTGCTGACTTGGCGATAAAATGTCGAGTTTCTTAGCACATTTATAACCTTGCCATACACACTTATGGTCAGTATACATGGAAATAAGTATGTAAGACATGGCCATAGTATAGAATCTACTTTCATCAAGATAAATATCCATTTTTTGTCATATATAACTGTATCGTAACACTTTTTATCACGATACTGTAATAACAATGGATTAATGGCGATCAATGCAAATGAATAGGTTATAATACTTGTATATGCCAGGATTATGTAGATATTTTGACGCAGTTGGTATGTACGACTGTAGACAACAGCACCCAACCGATCCAAAGCTGTGCACATCATATTACTTAAACTTAACAATACTACTAACCAGAATAGAGTATAACTAAACCATAAATAGCATAATACACTATCAATTATGATATAATCTGTATACCAGCGTTCTGATTTCAATATTTTTAACAAAGCAAATGTACAGATAAGACAGTCAAATATACACTGATTACTCAATAGTAGTGTTGTTAAACGTGATCCCAATTTCACATTGAGCAATGCATATAGTACAAATAAATTCAATAGTATTCCAGTTAACTGAATTAGGATTGCGAAAAATTTTATACACAAAAATGAAATAATTTTGGATGAATCTGTTGTTGTGCTTGACAGCTGAGTACAATTTCCATCCATAATTTCCATTTTAAGCGAAAATTCCGTTTACTTCATTCACGATTAATGTTCAATGTGTACAATGATTTTTCAAACGAAGGATGTATCACGCTGAAGATAGTAATGAAATTATGAAGATTGATATATCTACGAAATCATGATTATTAACTCCATACACATAGCCAATCATATCTTAAATCATACCACCCAAAAAAGTAATTCAGTTTTACGACAAAATGACTCGTATATAATACAATTTAGAAAATGAACGAATTAACCTTGCGGCTTTTATATTGGTTAACTGATTTCACAAGCCAGTAAATTTTAAATTCTGATTGGCTGAAACCAAAAGAGTTGGGTCTATTTTGATTGATTGGTAGACGAAAGACAAATCACACATCTCAAGATTATTCAGTTGCAACATAATATAAGCGATTCATGACGTCAGCCTAACCAAATATTAGTGTATTTGCATAGTTTGAATATGGAGATAATTTATCCCTTGGTGATGGAAAGCAAAAGTGCTTTGCTAAGTTAGTTTTCTTTTTAAATGGTCAAACGGGAATTTACAACATTTGAATAGATGAAAAGAAGATATGTAAAGGGTCTGTATAATCCTGTTTTACCAATCACTAAACAATTTGACATCAAACCATTTTTACTTTCCCCATTGGACGGTTAAACTTTATTCATAAATATCAGAAAATAAGGTGTATCTATGCAACCAAAACAGAAGAATAATCATCTTAAGTAACGCAATAGGCTGGTGTCTTGAAAATAATATCAACCTATCGCTGATAATTAGCATGTTGCAGTACAAGTAAGTTGTACAAAAACCACTATTGTGCGAAGAAGCTAACTAGTATTACCAGTTACTGTAACTATTTGACAGACGGAAGCCAGTACAGTTTAATATGGATAGCTGCGAATGAATTTCTATTGAAATATCTACTACTAATTCAAAAGCTTGGTAGTGATATGTCGATGCGATTTGCAGAGTATCTGAGTTAGATTATGTAGATAGGTTTACGACACACACACACACACACACATAAATGCAGAAGATGCAAGCTAGTTTACTTCTTAATTACAAAGTGAAGAAAAAAATTAACTATGGCGTACCCCAAGATAAAATATAATCAGGATAGATGTTTGAAGTTTACAAAGAACCTTCACATTTAACCAGATATCCAGACTTTAGGTTATCCTCTCCCACAACGTTTAAAACGGACTTTAAAAATGTCTCAGTAAAATAACGAAGAGTATAACTAAAACGGCAGTAGATTTAAGACAAGAAACAAGACGCAGTAGAGACCTTGCGACCGAACAGTTATGCCAGTAAATTTATATACAAGCTCGTAAAAATTTAAGACAAAATAATAAACCAGTTGGTGGTGAAGTACACATTGATAATATAAGTAGGAGTGGCGAAACCATGAAGAGGAAATACCAATTCTTCACCATGCTGTCGTAAAGGAAGTAAGCTCAGGAACGCTACTCAGGATTTTCAACAAGGCTTTGAAGAATGTAACATTTGAACCTATAAACTAACGTCAAAACAAACTTTTCAGATGAATAACGCAACTGAACCTACTAGATTAAATAACTTGTTCTACGAGATCTGTTTTAATAACTGAGAAGTCAAATACAAGTCAAAATAGTTAGCAAAGTTAATTAGGCTGAAGATTATTAGACCCCACTAAGATATGGAATCTAAAGAAAAGCTTGACAAGGCCTGTACACCCAGTAGCTCACAACTACACAAGTAGATGATATAAGGTGACAATACTTAAAACTAACTTGGGAGGGTGAAGGGATTGATAGCCGAAACTTTGCTCCTTGAATTGACGTCTAATACTTATTATAAGTATGACTGCACTTATTCTATGTATAAGGCAAATTTTACTACCCCTGTGACAAAAAAGAGAAGGGGTCAGGACTGAAAACACCAAGAGGATAAGTTGTTTCACTACCGTGGTAGGATTATGAGCAGTTATGTGCGCTCCAAACGCCATCCAATTGATGATACTGTCTCACTGTAATATATATACATGGCATATTCCTACCTATATGAAAAGCAAGCAGTGCAAGCAGCTATTCGCTTCATGTGGCAGACTGAGTTTTAAAAGCATGGAAGGCTGAATTTTGGTTGAATAGTATTATTTTCGTAAACGCGTTAATATCTATATATCTGCTTGTGATTGTAAGCAATAAATCATGTTCCAAGCGTTATCCGGTAAATAATACTGTGCAGCTTTATGAGATAAAGGATAAACTAACATGGAATTTTACTTCTTATCTTAGTGAACATGTGTGAGACTAGCTTTGGTTATCTGGATTTCCATATGTGAAGTACTTTACTTGCTCAAGAAATAAAAGAAAGAGATACGAAGTAATGAATATCTCAGTAAAGATTTGTGAATTAGATAAAGAGACACACACTTTAATATTACCAGGCGCAAAACTCTACCCATTTGGTTTAGAAATTCTACTGCAACTAAGAAGATTTTGGCTTCAAACTCTGTTTTCTTCAGAGGTTTTCATCATTCATAATTAATGCGGCTCATTAAAGGTTTTCCATTTTCGCATACCTTCTGAATGAATAAAGTAGTTCACTTATAGAAATCCAGATAACGAAAGCTTATGTCACATTCATCGAATAAGCTTGAACTTCCCCTACATCATCCATTAGTTAGGTACAGTGTAAGAAATCCCGTTAATTTTATTTGATGAAATCTAGATTAAAAACATGAAGTTGACTGATGGTCAGACTGTTGTGGTATTTTTAATATATTGAAGCTCAGTAAATGACATTTTGATATACTTCAACACAAAGCTAATTTAGTGTTTTAATACCTCAGATACTTAGTGATGAAGATTTTATCAACATATGAAACACATGTTGCACTGATTCATTTAAATCGGTTACTTCAAAAAGGCAACTGCCAGAGTAGCACTGTTTGTTATCGTTTACCGCAGTATAAGTGTACAATTTGGGAGGTACCTACGAAGTTCAGGATTTCTAATCGATCAAATCCCATCGTTTTGCAAACTTCATTTTATAGAGACTAAATAAAAGCCTATAAGCGTCGCATAAAGCATGTTACTGTTGATCTACTGGATTGCATTACAAAGACAACCAAATCCTGACTCAAATCACGAATGACTTTAAAGGCCACTCTAGTAAGTACTGAAATAACCAACCAAAATTCCGTATTTCAGCTGAGGTATTTTTTTACAAAATTAAAGAAACAACTGGCTGTCTCGGTAGTTGTTAGAGCGAGATTTACTCCCAATCACTCTGCCAAATCGTGTTATGTTCCAGTGGCCTTAGAAAAATTTCGGTATCTACATCAAAAGATATGACTAATACCTACTACTTTATTATCTTTCATGTAGTTGATGTGTCAGAAGTTAAGCTGTTTGATACAAACTATCAATGAAACAGTCAAGAGAAGACTTAAGAATACTACTTTTAGATCTTGACTTCTTCTGGATGACAAGAATATCTTAATTACAAGTTAATTTACTTATTTAGAACGATATACAATGATACAATATTGTTTTCTGAATGAACGACATCTGGAGAAAGGAAAAAATAACTTAGATCAAAGCCAGAATAATTACATTTTCGACCCACCCTAGTAATCAAGTATTTGTTGTAGCTGATTAAAATTCATGCATATCCTTGTGAAAAATTGATTATAAAACCATGTTCTTTTGTAAATTTGTTTGTAAAGACAAATCACTGTTCACCGGCCTATTACAATGACAGAAAATCTAAGAACACACTGCATGATTCAAGTCAGTCTTCACTTTTGGATTGCCTCTTATGACAAAAAAATTAATGTAGAACCCTAGACACAAGTGCATAGGTTCAAGTTTCCACACTTCACAGCAGTATACAAAGAATAAGTGGACAGAATAAAAGTGATATCAAAGCAGACAAAATTGTGTGACGTAATAAGCAAGTTAAAGATAAAGGTTAATGCAAATATTTGAGCACTAGAAAACGTCAGAGAGTGAATACATCTGTGTCATGTCACCAAGAGCTCTAATCTATCGATTCTTATCGTCTCTGGGACCCAAGTCAGGTAGTCTACATCTCTTCGTACGGCTTAGACCAGTAGTTAGGAACCTCATCAACGTTTTTGCCTGGTCATCCTGAACCCTCTCCCAACTTCCTCTAGCTGGGAACGTTGGTCGCTCGGCATGCGTAGTACATGTCCAAGCCATTTAGGCACGAGGATCACCTTTCGTACAACGGATATCTCCTGTTCTTTTGTGATAATTTTACTTTCCAGCTGATTATTTGCATCGACCCAACATAACAAGAAAGTAAACACGTATTATTCAACATATAACCTTTTGCCAAATGTTCACTTATGATAGATACCTACTCACACATGCCTACATTGTTCCCATAAGGTACTCGAAAACTTGATGAATAAACCAGAGTTAAGACCATTTTCAATTCCTTATCAAGTGAACTGTGGATAAAATGACTTATTAGCGATACTCATTAAACTGTACAAATATCCAGAGATATGACATCCACTTCAGTCGACTACCAAAACCTTCACAGTAAACTTGAAAGTAATCGCACTAATAGCTGAAATACCATTCTACGAAACTGTAGGTGTATATTTTCCGAACGACTGGTAGCTGAAAATTTGAATGTAAGAGTTGACACGCATTTGAAAGTAAGTCTGAATTGAACGAATTGGAATAATTACATTAAGTATGCTATTGCACAAAATTTAGCATCTTAACATCAAAACCTAAATCATACTTAAGTGCCACCCGAATTATTTATTGCATGTTCATATAATACACAAGCTTTTTAAGGCTTGTCCTACCAATTAAACGTCTTCAGCTTAGCCGCTTATAATTTTGATTGGTTTAAAATGTTCCCCAGTAATTTCCTACTTTGAGTTCAAATAAATTATTTGAGTAGTCCTAACCACCTGTATACAGTTTTTCTTTGTTTTCTGTAGAGACTGAGTAACCCACGTTTAGCGAATTTAATAAAAACGGGTTGTGCATGATACAAAAACAATACAAACATGTTGCTTGATAACAGTCCCGTTGCTTTGTGACTGCTTGGAGCTTGACAGACGAGGACTGATGGCAAATGTATCTGCTCCAGCACTTAAAAAAAACCTTTAGTCCTGAAAGTCATCACTAGTCAGTTTAGAGTTCCTCAGGATTTTGTGTTGAAGCTCTTAAGTGGAGGTGTTTTCACTAAAAGTGATGTAGATAAGTATAGTTTGGTAACTAGGCATCAGTCCTGTGGCTAGTCTTCAGAAAGAAACGCTGTCGGTACAGACAGATTAAAAGATAGTGAAACAATGAGCTTTACATTCGTGAATTGAAGTCTTTTGTAACATTAATTATACTTGATTTACTTAACAGATGACAATACAAGTACTACTGTTGCCAGTTTGTGAAGTGAGGTCCATCTCACATTTAACTCCAGTCACAAATCTTTGTAAGATTGATTACGCTGTAGCAACCAACATACTTAGTTGGATACTACTAGGGTTGTGCTTAAACTTCTTTCAGATATTTGATAATTCTAGTACTGATGTTAGTGACTTGGTGTGGTGCCTTGTTCTCTCATCACATGTTGATTCAACAAACATCCAGAGATGAAAAGCCTCCAGAACTTAATTAACAACTGCAAAAGCATGCACAGATGAAGAAGTTCCGCCTAGATCTCACTGTTCCACAACTAGGCAGACAACTACAATCTAGTCTAGCTATTCAAACTGGTTCCATGTTCTTACTACTAATTTGGTTAAGTGTACACTCTTTGATTTCTTTTAAAAACCACAATACATCATAAAGATTTCCAAGTTGTTGTGATTATGCGAAGTACAGACAGTCACTTGATTATTTCTAGTCAAAAAGTCAAGTGACAATTTATCAGTTTGCTGAAGCAGTCTACAAAATAATATCAGTCCGTGCCGAGATTTCTGCAGTTAGGCTAAAGGGAAACACCCTTAGACTCATAAAATTATAGTGAAAATCATTCTACACAATTCAGCTGCTTAGTTATGATTAGCAACACCAGGCGGAAAATAGAGGACTTGCACTTCATGATTACATTAACAAATTGGCTTCGTTTTAGTCTATCTAACATATTAGATAGTAATATAAACTTGTGCGCTGGATGACGTTTTGAACACAAATTATCAGCTATTGGCATTTTAAAGAAGGTGAACTTTGGAAAACGCTTGTATGCTCCAACGACTCCCTACTGTTTTATTTCCAATGACCGGGGAATTTTCCAACTGTAAATATTGCTTTACCAGTTTGATCGCGATGGACTACAGTACGGCCAATAAAACAGATGAAAAGGGAAAGAAAAATCGGATTTGCGCGACTTATTGATTCCAAGTTGGCATTCATCATGAACTGACATCAGTTGGGGGAATTTTGGAAACCTGGAAGAACTGGATAACTGTTTCGTCCCAGTATGGGACTCCTTAGCAATACGCAACCATGACCCCACCATGAGTCAAACCCACGATCTTCAGGTCCCGTGGCCGGCACGTTACCATTGAGCCACTGGGCCGGAATCTAATCGTCCATATTCCCAACTGCTGTCAGTTCACGATATAACGCGACCATTACCCAATGTCATTGTTGAGTGTTTATCCTCTTATCCACCAGGTTTGCCCCACTGGTCACGACTTCTTATTGGGACTTCGGGAATCACCTCCTAAAGCTAGTCACCAATGAGCATTAGCCCAACTGAATTTGGGACAAAACAGCTGTCTAGTGCTTTCAGATTTCCAATGTTCCTACACCTGATGTCAGCCCATGGTGAATACTAACTTGAAAAATCTTTATATCCTCACAAATCCAATTGAACTAGTGCCAACTAGCGATTAGCTTTGGGAGGTGATTCCCGAAGTCCCAATGAGAAGTCGTGACCAGTGGGGCAAACCTGGTGGATAAGAGGATAAACACTCAACAATGACATTGGGTAATGGTCGCGTTATATCGTGAACTGACAGCAGTTGGGAATATGGACGATTAGATTCCGGCCCAGTGGCTCAATGGTAACGTGCCGGCCACGGGACCTGAAGATCGTGGGTTTGACTCATGGTGGGGTCATGGTTGCGTATTGCTAAGGAGTCCCATACTGGGACGAAACAGTTATCCAGTTCTTCCAGGTTTCCAAAATTCCCCCAACTGATGTCAGTTCATGATGAATGCCGACTTAAAAGAAAGGAAGAAGTAAACGTAGAAAGTAGTAGAAGCGAGGAAGGAAGAATGAGATTAAGTATAGCGGTTAAGATGAGGATAATGTGAGTATACATCTGCAACACTGACATCGGTTCTCAGCCATATCACCTAGAGTCTCCTACCACTGGTTCCTCTTGTACCACCGACCCCAAATGGCTGGTCTGCATCGCCACACATGGCTCAAACCAACGGTCAAACACTTCATATACTGATGCCATGTTTTAGTCTGGCCATCTCGGGCCTTTCTTCGGCCTGGATCTACTTCGGCCAACATTGTGTGGCGAGGGAGACGGTGGCTAGGTATATACGACAATGTCCCAACCATCTCAGTTGATGAAGGTTTATAACCGCATCAGGTATCTTACCCTTCCTGCCTAAAACTCTGCATCTGGCTTTGCGTTACTCATGTGGTGGCACCACAAAAATAACTAGGAAGACTTTTTCAAATACCACGAAACTTAGCTTGCACGCATTAAAAGGACCGAAATGAACGAGATCTTGTTAACAGAAGCGACTTGTGGGCTGAAGTATAGCCCTAAACACTACTTAATTAACTCTTTTTGTCAATGACTACAGACGTTTCTCAGCTAAAACTGCTGACAGAAAGACAAATAGTGGGGATTTCATCAGGATCGAAAAAATGGGGGTTAACTTGAGGTATCACTCAAGTCACAGAAACACAAATCAAAACAGTTCGATCAAACTCTACTTGTAGAATAGTAATTCGCGTAGTAGACAATAAGTGCGAAACATCCTTGTGGTACTGCTAGTTCCAACAGGAATGACGTGAACCATAGCCCAGTGCATGAAAAAGTGGTTTTGGAATCGCGATTTCCGAAATGACCAGCATTTGTGTACCTATATTTCCTATCGCTGCCTCTCACAGACTCAATGTATTGTCACAACAAAGCTAATCAATAAGTGTTCAGTGGCATTCAACTATAACTAATTTCCAGCGTATGGCATTAGTCATCCCATTTTTCGATTTAAAAAAAAAACAAATATCACTACTTAACATAAAATTATGTTGTACAGTATCAATCACAGAACTATCTGTATAATTATAAAACGACATACAGTAACTGCAATGCAACATTAAATCTGACAAACAATGGCCACTAGATCACTTAAAGCAAAGGATACTTTCCTATAGACGAAGCCACCAAGTTTGATCACGAATGCAACCGTAGTCAGGCAATGTTTCAACAGGACCTAAAACAAAATGAAATGAAAAACCCGATGAAAAAGCACGTCAACATATGTCAGATTACCTGGATTATGATGTAAGCAAGCACTTACTTAGATATTTATGATCATTATCCACTTTTGTTTTGACGTTCTGATGATGCTTGTGATCATACCCAACCAGGAGGATTTTTAGTAGACCTAAGGTATATGGGTGATGTGACTGGTAGTTGAGGATACTGACAAGAAGCAGTCTTTTGAAAATTTCGAGTGAAAACAAGAGAATGATGTTCCTAGGACTGATTTGAACTCATACGTAATTTAACGGTAGGCCGCATTAGTTAACTGCGTCGACCAACTATTTAGGTGTTGCATCATCACTGTTGAGTTTGTTACCAATGAAATCTCATCACGGGTACACTAATGGTTCATTTAATCTTTGCAAACCAAAATAAGTTGCAAGAATGTACATCAAAAAGCAACTATACCATCCAACCATTGCGTGAAATCGGCTTCATGACTGCTGAAAGTGAACATAAGAGCTACTCCAGCACATCTCAACAGTTTGTGTGGTTTTATCGATACGTATAAAATATTGGGTGATGAAGAGGGTTTGTCAATGGCATTCTGAACAAATATCGATCGGAATGGTTTGAGTGTTATACACACCAAGCTATTATTTACTCAGATATGTGCACGTTCGTGCAGTAGGTAATGAACCACACCTTTTGTGTGAGGACTACTAGTGAGACCTTACATGACCGCCCAAACTTCGGTAGGTGGAGCGGTGTTCGGACCCGTGACCCACCTGGTTGAAAATCAACTGCCTAAACCAATGAGTCACAGCTGCACAATTCTCAGTCGGTATTCCGCTGAAAAAAAGCTCAGTCAAACATTGCACCGACCAACGAAGTGAATGACTGTTGGTTTGAGCTTTTCATATCTGAGCTTTGGATGACAAATAATGGGTTGATATTTAGTTATATGCAAATTACACTCGAAGATCAAACAGTAACGCGCACTCGAACGACTCATTGCACTGAAGTAGTAACTGATGCTGATCAGAAGAATATCACAATGCAGAACTGGTAAGTAAGCGAGTGTATGCAAGTATTTCATATCAAAAGTAAGCTGATTTGTATACAAAATATATCAACTACATAACATGAATACTAACCAATTACAGCGAATGTCCAGTTCAGGATAATACAGAAGTCAACTATCATAATTACTTTTCCGAAAAACAAGACTCGTACAGTGTGGGCATCAAAGAAAGGCACCATACAAAACAAAATGACGACATAAAAGAGAGACAACAAAAAGGAAAATAGCAGATGATGTACATTCCCTGTAGAGTTCACCACTTCCGTCTCACTTTATGATAAGCGGTGAAACAGAAAGCTAGGGAATCATCAATATTTACCTTGATCTTTAATTATCTGATAACTTCTGAAGCTACTAGGTTACATATTCCTTCCAATTATATCCAAGGAGTCATAGCGTACCAACAGATACTAACTTATCAATTCATTGTATCTTGTCGTTACACACTGACTATCTCCCCCTTTTCTCAACTAGTCGCAGGGTTGGTAAATAATACACAAAATGGGACAGCATTTCCAGGACATGCCCTGACCAATAAGGTTCGCATCCTACAATATGATATCATTTACTGAGTTACAATTCACGCCCTACTTAAACGCGCTGAAAGGCCTAGAAATTATTAGACTATAAATAAATTTTAATGACAAGTTGATACACAATAATCAGTTTATGATGTTGCTCAAAACATTATCAAATTAATAAACTTGTCATTAAAATGCCTTTATAGTATATTAATCACTTCTACAACGCACAAACTCTCCATTTATTCACCAAAAGATTACTGAAATGTTGACAGGAAACATGAGATAACTGTGGTCGAATACACTGAGTTGTCGGATATCCTTGTCATTGTTCACTCGTCCTTTCGAAGTTACACTGACGCATTTCATTCTGAATTTCGATATGTGGCTAAAAATCTCACTAACCTGCACTAACATAACTACTGAGAAACACGAATTTTGTGATTAATTTCGGCGGTTTACAATCAACAGTGAGTGAGTGAATACATAGAATACCAAAACTACTGTCCAAACACTACACTCCCACAATACGAAGCATATGTTATACACATGTTACATGGGTTATTTCAACTACTAAAATATTTCAAAGGCAGTTTTTTGATGAACGCATCATTCCTAACCAATGAAATATCGATCTTTCTCTTGCCCCTTCGTGCCTGATATCCTTATCGATGAAATCAAATGAAAAACATAATTACTTACCAATAGCTGCGACAGCAGGACATTTATCGAATAAATATTTTGAACACGTTTCTCTAATGTGCTCATCTGTGAGTGCCTACATAATGGAATTATAAATACTTAATAAAAGTCAATTCAAAAAGCGAAATCATTACTTTCGGCAACTCAGTAAAAAAATTATTGGTCCTTAATACTAATGTGTGACTCATTAAGTGAATGTTACACATAGTAACTATATATTTCTACCATAAATGAGGAGCTACGGCTTATTGGTTTAAGGGTTTGACTTCAACCAATGGGTCACGAGTCTGAACACCGGTCAACTACCACAGTTTGGGAAACCAGGTAATATCGTGAGCCTTCATACAATAGTTGTGGCTCATCGTCTACTGCACGAATGAGCACAAGGTTGCTGAGAGCGTACTGTAAATCTTTTGAATGCTCTATTAAGGTCACCAAGATAAATATCGAACTTATAACTCTGAAGACTCAAAATCAAGTGTCATATTCTTGCTTGCAGCGCGAAGTGTAGTTTGACGAATCACAGGGCAGAGTATGTGACATGATTTCCCTTACCGTAAAGCTTCATAAACATCTCCAGATTTCTTTCTACTTTCAAACATCACTTTTAACGCCTTGGTTGGAATTTAAAAGTAAACAAGATGAAAGCAGCACGAGTACATTTGTGGCAACATCTGAGTACAAACCTCGGTTACCCAGCTTTGAATACGCAAGAGAATATTTCATCGAAGCTTGCAGTAACACTTTACTGATGAATGATGAAAACCGTTGAAAGTAGGTTCAGTGCCCTTGAAGACTATCCGACATGCTTTGAATGAAAGTTTATACTAGTTGTCAAAAATGGTGAGTTTAACACAAGGCTGGTATCAGCAGAAGATCCTTGGGTTGTCTTCATCAAATACAAACCATACTTATCTTTAAGTCAAGCTGCCGTGACTTTAACTGCTGTAATTTTGTGCAATGGTCCAGGTCATCATCATCATCAATATCAACACAGGACTAGGCATTACTGCGTAACGGTCAGAAATGCCACACCTCATATCAGTACATCAAGTAGAAAGGCACTGAGGTGAAAGATGAAGAAAAGAAAGTTCAACCGGAAGAAATATAAAGTACGAGAAGAGAGAAAGGAAAATGACAAAATGGTGAGATTCGGCATAATTGTCAAGATGAGATTAATGTGAGTATACATCTGCAACACTGACATCGGTTCTCAGCCATATCACCTAGAGTCTCCTACCACTGGTTCCTCTTGTACCACCGACCCCAAATGGCTGGTCTGCATCGCCACACATGGCTCAAACCAACGGTCAAACACTTCATATACTGATGCCATGTTTTAGTCTGGCCACCTCGGGCCTTTCTTCAGCCTGGATCTACTTCGGCCAATATTGTGTGACGAGGCAATCGGTGACTAGGCATACGTAACACGTGTCGGAGCCGACTATCTCAGTCAATGAAGGTTCACAAACTCGTCAACTGATTTACCTCTTCTCCATAAAACTCTACACCTGACGTCTGTGTTATTCACATGATGACACCACAGAATACGGCCTATACTACGAAGAAAACGGTGGTCAAACACCTGAAGCCAGCCTTCTCATGTCTTCCACCTTCAATGGCCATGTTTCACAGCCACACAGTAGAACAGATCGGACTGCTGTACAGGTGCAGTACACGCCACCCTTAATAGACAATCGGATATCACTGCAGCGCCACAGGTGGTGTAAGTTGGCGAAACACAGCCGAACCTTTTGTATTTATGCAGAGATTTCATCGGCCACTGACCAACGTACCATGGCTGATCTTACTTCCCAGATAAGAGGTCGACACACCCAACCACTACACTCTCTATTGTTAGCCGTGGCACCGTAGAACACCAATCCTGGAGCAACATTTGCATTTGGGTGGTGAGAAACCGCATCCTAAACATTCTCAAATTCCCACTCAAAGTGTTCAGAAGACTCTGAATCTTGTCAGCCTCTTCACCTAACAGGACTACGTCATCTGCATATTCTAGTTATAACGAAAATCCTCCTCGATTAGATTAACGTCTGTGTAATCAGGTGACGAGAGGGAAACCTCCATAACAATATCTGTGATAAAGTTGAATAACAATGGAGACACTGGGCATCCATGACGGACACCACTCCACAAGCACAGCTTCCTGGACATCTCACCATAAGCTCTAACATACCCACTAGTGTTCGAGTGGAGAGATTCCAATAAGGTGATGTATTTACTCGGCATGCCTTTCACTGACAGACATTGCCATAAGACTTCTCGATCAACGGAGTCGAATGCCGCCTTCAGGTCGAGAAATACAACTATTGTCGGGCGTCGGTAAGCGTGTCTGAGTTCCAAAACCTGGGGCAGTGTAAATATTTGATCGATACACCCACGGCCGGGTCTAAAGCCTGCCTAATTTTCTCGGGCTTGCTGTTCCCAAGCTCCACTCAGACGTCGAAGAACTATAGAACCTAGGATTTTGGATACTATGTTCGTCAGGCTGACTCCTCTATGGTTATCACAAGAGGACTTCTCGTCTTTCTTGAAGACTGGGACAATCAGTGACTTAGACCAGTCGGAGGGGATCGTATTTGATTCCCATATACTGGCTAACACTTCCGTTAGCCTGACTAAGAGCACTCTACCACCATTCTTGTATACCTCAGCAGTTAGTCCGTCTGGTCCTGCTGCCCTTCCTCGTTTCAGGCTACCTACCGCTTTCTCAACTTCTTCTAGTGTTGGGGGACCTGTCTCTATGTCCCATTCAGGGTCCGACTGGATAGCGGGCAACGCAACGGTGGCTGGAGGCCAGTTAAACTGTTCCTCAAAGTGTTCTGCCCATCGTCCCAGTCGCCTCCCCTGCGAGTGAATCGCAGATCCGTCCTTCTCCGCTATAGCCTCACTAACTGTTGTTGACCATTTCCCCCCAGTCTCCTTAATAAGTCTAAATAACTGTCTACTGTTACCGATCGCCGCTGCCTTTTCCATCTCTTTAGCCTTCACTGCCCACCACTGTTCACGATCGTTGCGCAGACTTTTCGTCAGTCTATTTTTAAGTTGCGCTCGCTCTTCATTGTACTCAGAGCCTGCAGGGATGCATTCACGTGCATCCATTAGTTTGGAAGAAGCTGCTGATATCCACTGGCTCTTTTTAGCCATTATTTTGGAGTCGGCTACAGTCTTCGACTCTGCTTTTACAGCAGACTGAAGATGGACCAAGCTTCTTCTGGATGAGTGACAGTCTTTTGTTCCGATAACTGCCTAGCCAACTTCTCACTGAACACGGCTTTGGTGTTTTCGTTGTCCAGCAGAACTCGTAGTGGTTTTGTTGCCAAATTTTTTCTACGTCCATTGAGACGCAGGCATATACGTGCTCGGACCAACGCATGATCGCTGTCCAAACACGTACTCCAGAAGGAGCGGCAGTCTTCCACCGATCCTCTCCAGCGATGACTAATAGCAATGTGGTCTATCTGTGTCCATCGCTGAGTCGAGCTCGGTGGACGCCAGGTCAGACAGTGCCTTTCTTTATGTCTGAAATTGGTGCTGGCTAAAAATAGGCGGTTATCTGAGCATAGTTGTAATAGGCGATCACCGTTATCTGTACGTTCAGCTGGGATTCCGAAAGTGCCACCTAAGTGCCTTTCTGCCTCACTCAGTCTACCCACCTGTGCGTTGAGGTCACCTGCAACAACCACTACGTCCGAACGTTTGGCTTTCGAGAGGAGGTTAGACAGTTTATGGTAGAACTCGTCCTTCACTTCATCCGAACTGCAGTCAGTGGGTGCGTAAGCAGAGATTACAAAGAGACAACGGCGAGTCTCACTATTCCTTTTAGTTCTCACTGTGCCGTTCAGCCTCATAGCGCAGAGGCGACTATCAACTGGGATCCAGTCTAGTAGTGAGTTTTCTGCCCTGGTGCTTAATGCTATACCTACACCTGCAAGACCACGAGAGCTAGCTATCGAATCTCCAGAAACTCGAAGGGTGAATTTTGCAGATTCACCAGATTAACCAGGAGAGGTCAGGTGAATAACCACACTTGGGTCCTGTATGCGTGTCTCACAAACACAGCACACATCCATGCCCGAGTTGCTCGAGTCTTTGCCAGCAAAGCCTGTTGACCAACTTGACGGAGGGTACGGACAATGAAGGCTCCAATGTGTAATTTCGAGCGTGGTTTAAGGAGACCAAGGATGCTGTTTTGTGGACTCAGATCGTTGTCGAAGGCTGCAGAGTTAAAAGAAATTGAAGATGGTGTAATATCGTTAGTTGAGAGGCGTGAAATAAGATTACAAGGTAAAGATGGAGGAGGTGGATACCAGTCTGCGGAAACTTGAGTGCTGATCGAGTTGTGAGGGCGGTCGACACTTCCTGGCTGCCCACACCGTGGAAGGCTATTTCTTTGTGAGGTACCCGAAAGAGATTTGTGACCACAGAGCCCATCGGACATCTGCTTGAAGCCTGATTATTTTGAACTCATGTATTTTTGCGGCCGGATGGTAGAAAAGAAACGACAAATCAACCAACACCGCCGGTCCGGCAGACCGTGAGGTATCGTGAAGTGTTATTTTGGGGGCCGACCTTTTCTAACCCCCCTTCCACTGAGAAGGCAGCATCAGAATGGCACTGCTGGTCACTCGAGGGAAACACCTGACTGCTATCACACCCCATCCAGCTAGCAGTAGTACGACATCACCCTCAGATCCCCATCATAGTATAGTAATTTACACCACATCATATTGTACATGAAAAGCAATTGCACGCTAAGGTCATTCATTATAAACAGATGTCTTCAACAGAAAAATTGGGTAGGGGGGGTTGTGTTTACAGTTCCCAATTAAACCAGGCCCTAGTCGGCCACACAGTAATGATCGCAAATAAATGAGAACAATTCAAAGACTTTTGAATTTATAACGCACTAATTTACAGTGTTTGATAGCAAACAATTAAATCTCATGAAAACCAAAAGGTTTTAGACATTACTAAGTTCAACATAGAATCACACTCTACTCACATCAGGATAGCATCACTTGTTCTCTGGCTACTGCCATGAAGTGTTGCAACTTGAATTGATGCACATTTATGCGAATTTCTAAGTTGATTTTGTCCACCAACGTCTGTCCACAATTAGATTAGTACAAAATTAATGCCTAAACCTTCGCGCCATAAAGGAGTTCTGTAAGCGACCACGTGAACTTTCATGCACAAGATGAACCGCACCAATAGCGTGAGGGCTCATGATGCTACATGGCTACAGAAAAATCGGTAGGAGAAATGGGTTTTGAACCCGTGTCCCACTTGGTTAGAAGTCTGCTGTTAAGATCCATGAGCCACAGATTCGCATCACGAAGAAACTCATCAGATGAAAAGCAGACATTTTCACTAACTGATCGATATTTTATGGTAAGTAGTTTATGTAAATAATTATTCCACAACATTCAGTTATTAATGTTATTAAAATGTAACCAAATGCAACCGATACATACGTAACTCTACCTAAATTCCCAGAAGTTACATAGCAATAGAACACGCCAAGAACACGAGAAGGGCAAACATTCAAGCTTACAACCCTTAACTTCTAATTTCTTGTGAATTTCAAATACGTTTTCTTATTTTTCCTGACCTATGACTTCCTACTGTACTTTTAAAAACTAACAAGGTGACAAAATTGGTTAACAGGTATTTAACTGAAGGCAGAGTAGACAACTGAACCAAGTGGATGGAAATAAGCATTCCCCACATCTTTTCTAAACCCTACAATTAAGTATAATGCAAATAAAAACGCCTAATTTACCACAAACACCAATAACCATTACATGATGATCGTAAGAAACCCGATAATAAAAGCAAGAAAAACTATTTTATCTTACGTCGATTCTGGCGAGCAATTCAGTTATGGGTATACGACGACCATAAACTAACATATGCCGACCAATCTCTTCACAAGTAGGAGTAGTGCCATCCAGCTGCAAAAGAAGATGTGTCTTCAACTGATTTTTGGCTCTAGCGATTTCATGCGACTTGACTTGACTACAAATACGAACAAATTCCTTCATAAACTCAAGGACAGATTCACCTAACCCCATCCTCTCTGCTGTTAGGTATACTCCCCTGCAAAAGGAAAATCGATTATACAAGTGAAGGTCAACATTAGAAGTATGACACAGGACGCATAGAGGATACAGTATTTGTGCTGACTAATTACTGCATTTAATATACAAATGGAAGCTCCCAGTTATCGAGTGTAACACGGTATTTTCTAGGTCTATCACGAAGTAATCTGCTATTAGGGGACCAAGTGGTGATCTCACTATCACTCCATCCTTTTGTCGGTGGAATGCATTGTCGAATTTGAACTGGTCCTTAAAAGTTTACTTGGGAAGTAGTTGTTTTAAATAGTACTTTGGAACACCAATGTAGAACTTAGTCTACGATGAAGTTGCATGGGAAACAAATGGTTCCAGTGAGCGGGACTTTAGTAAAGAGTGAGGTCAAATACATAGTTGTCATTTGCCTACTTAATATATTCAGACTATTGATTGAATTAACGAAGTCAAATGAATTAAACACCGAGTATTAAAATGGTTTCTAACCGGTTGTAAGATATCAAAGCCATCCGGCGGCAGTATGAAATGGTAATTTGTTCATTAAACGGAGTGGAAAGTTTTCTTTATGCACTTTTGGAAAACCATATGGTCAAGGAACTACAAAACCAAAGGATTGTGGTTGCTCAAATAATTCAGAGATTATTATCCATTCACTCTTTATTTCCTCGTAAATACAGATAAGCCTTTGTTCTATTTGGTGGGCACTATTTCTGAAGTTTCTTTCAAATATTTATTTTCATCTGATATTGTAGGTGCGACTTTAGGTGTGTGATTCATATGACCCAAAAGGACAACTTCAACACTTATACGAAAAAAACAATCTTTATTCTCGCCTGACGACAACAACCGACTAACATACGGTTTCGCATCAACGCACTGATGACAGCAACCCAAAACCACCGATGTGAATTGTTCAAGATACTTAGTTGGAACTGGAATGAGATAATTCTTTTGACTGATCAGTTTTTAAATTGAACTTTAACGTGTAGGTTGTTAGCGTTCGATAAAATATCATAAAACTTGGGACCCAACAATAACGCTTGTATTTGAAAGGAAGCCAATGGTATACTGACGTATTCAGAAACATATTTTCTAGGTTTCAGGAAATTTGAATATGCATCTGTTGGGTTACGGCTCTTCATTATCCTCAAGTCAACATTTCTAGAATATTGTTTAGAAACTTTATTTTTTCTGTGAAATCTATCCCCACTATTTCAGACAATTCGCATAAAGCATACCTTTTCATTGAGCCTACGTTCTAATTACTGCGGCTGGGATTTATTTTATCCATTAAGTGTTTATGTTATGGTTAGTACACACATTCCAAAAGCTGAACTCCACTGAGCGGAAAAAATACCTAGTTCACTCACTTTCGTTGAGAATTTAGAAAGTTGGTACAGATGAAATGACAATTAGACGCTTATCATGATCAAGATGAGGAAACTGTTCACTTTCAAGTTGACATAATCTTAGTAACACGAGAGAAAAACCGGTAACTGCTACCACATTATCATTTGGAAGAACTGCATTTTTAATTTGCATTTGCAATTTTATATACAGACAAAAGTGCAAATCCGAAACAAAAACAAGTACAAGAACACAATTAGACAATCCACTTAGTAGACCAGAATATGATAAAGTGAGTGTATCTGCGTCACCGAAACCCTCGAGCCACATCCCTGAGTGAATACATGTGCGCACGCCATTGTGACTGGTTTTAAACCATGTCACCAACAATTCCTATCGTCTCGAAGATCTCAGTCAGTCTACACCCCTCTACACAGCCCATACCAACAGCCAGAGAACTTATGAATTGGTTGTATTTCTTAGTTTGGCCACCCTGAACCCTCTTCCAACTTAATCCAACTTTCCCTAGCATGTCATATCGAGGAAGGCGATAGCTCGGCATGTGCAGTACATATTCAAGCCACCTCAGTCGATGAATGTCCACAATCTCACTAACTGACCTGTCTGTCTCACCTAGCAACCTTCGCTTAACCTCAACATGGCTAATATGGTGATTCCACCATACACGAGCAATACTACGAATATACCTGTGACCAAAGACTTAAAACCGCTTCAGATCTTTTGTTTTTGACGGTCTTGTCTCGCAGTCATATAAAGAGGCAGAACAAACTGCAGCGCAGTATACTCGCTCTTTGGTAGATAGTCGGATATCACACCAGTCGGTCCCACAGATGACTCGAATTGGCAAGTACCAAACAGGGCCTCTGCATCGGAACTGAGATTTCGTCAGTAACCAGACAGCTTGGGTTTACGCAACTCCCAAGTAGTGTTCTATACATTCCGCCACTTCACTCCCTATCCTTAAAACTGGGAGTAGGTGCAGACCAGTCCAGAACCATCACCTTACATTTGACAGGTGCGAAACGCATGTTAAACACACTCCGATTTCCGCTCAAGGTGTTCAGAAGAACCTGCATCTTGTCAGCGTTCTTACCTAGCAGGATAATGTCGTCTGCGTACTCCAAGTCAATCCCTGTGAAACCAGATGTACCTAGGGTTACATCCGCCAGTACACATACAAGGGATTTGACTACGAACGATGACAGTGGGTATCCGTAGTGGACACAACTAGCTGTCGTCAATTTTGATGACAACTCTCCACAAACCCTTGCATGATTGCGTGAGTTCGAGTAGAGAGCTTTGATTGGCGTTATATACTAGCTCAGTACTGCTTTCAGTTAGACACTGCCACCACCCCACGGTCGACAGAGTCAACTGCTAGGTTCAGATCAACGAATAGGGCAAGCGTCAGCCACCGGCAGTTATCCCTGTTTCAGGATCTGCAGAAGCGTAAAAATCTGATCGTCCCACCCTCATCCAGACTTGAAACCTGCCTGGTTTTCTTGTGTTCGTTGTTCTGCAGCGCTAGTTCAGTGTCGGACAACTAAGGACCCCAAGATCTTGAACACGATATTAGTCAAACTGAATCCGCAATGCTCGTCACACGAAGACTTATCTTTTTTTTCATAGAGTGGGACAATCAGTGAAGTAAACCAGTCAGACGGGGCTACCTCTGATTTTTACACACTGCTAGTACATCCGCCACTTTAATCAGTAACTTCATACCTGCACCCGTAAAAATTTCGGGTGGCGAACTATCAGATCCTGCTGCTTTGCATCGTTTCACGTTTCATTCAGCCTTCTCAAATTCAAAGAGAGTTGAAAGACCATCATCGCCGTCCCATTCAGGCTGGATATTGGGCGACTGAAGCGTTTCTGAAGGCCAGTTGAAATGGGTTCCAGTGTTCTTAACGTTCTAGTCACCTGTCCTGGGAGGTCACGAGTGTCTCGTTTTTTCTGGTGATGGTTTCACAAATCACAGTTTTCTTGAGACCATCCTCAATAGGCCTAAATAGTTGCCCGGTGTTAGCGAACGCTGGTGCCTTTTCTCTCTTGCTTTTGCTACTCACCACTGCTCGCGATCCGTATGAAGATTCTTGGTCAACTTACTTGTAAGTTGCTTTCGCTCTTCGTTGCCATAGTAGCTGCCTAGAACCAGCCTTCTCCTATCATTTAGTTCGGATGAAGTTGTGGGAATCCATTGACACTTACTTACCTTTTTATGTAGGTTACCAAACGTCTTTGCCACTGTTTCTACAGTAGAATTAGTATCACGCCAGGTTTTCACACGGTGAACATTGCTGTCACGTTCAGATGAATGCTTAGCTATATCCTTCCTAAATATGTACTTGACGTTTTCATCTTCCAATCGAGCATAGACTTCACTGCAGCCTGTTTTCTGCGACTCTTAAGACGTGGACATACACCAATTTGTACTGAGGTGTGATTGCAGTCTGAACAGGTACTTTACTAAGAATGGCGACCCTTGAACTATCCTCTTAAACGATGGCTTACAGCAGTATGATCTTTGTGTGTCCATCGTCGGTTTGATGTTGGCAGACGCCTTGCTTGAAATTAGTGACAGCAGGAAAACCGGAGCAAGACTCCAAACCATAAACACCCCCGAGATGCCACTGCGATCGGCTAAGCTCCCCTAAATGAGTGTTAGTTACCCCCAATTATTACTATATCCGAACGTCTTGCTTTCTGTAGCAAAACTGATAGCTTTTGATGGAAGTCATCCTTTGCATCACACGAACTGCAGTTGATGAGTGCGTAGGCGAAGATTAGGAATATGCATAGGCTGTTCTCATGACCCTTCATAGTCCTTATAGATCCATCTAGTTCAACAATAAGCAGATGGCTGTTAGCTGGTATCCAGTCGAGAAGAATGCTTTCTGCTCTATTACTTAATGCTATGCTTACACCAGTGACTCCACAAGAGCTAGCCACTGGGTCGCCGGATGCTTGTAAGGTGAATTTTGAAGATTAACTGCAACGACATGGTGAAGTTAACTTAGTAACCTCAATCCGATCTTATAAACGCGTTTCAGATGTGATCACAGAGCCTATTGGACACCTGCTTGAAACCTGTCATACAGAGACTTTTCAGGATTGTTGGTAAGATGATTGTTTTGATCCCAGAAAGAGGAAACCTATACCATCGGCACTGGAAGACCATGAGTCAGGGAGGAGTGTGGTTTTTTGCGGGCGAACCGTTTCTAACCCTTATTCCCACCAGGAAGGCAGCTTCAGCATTGTACTGTTAGTTATCCAAGGGAAATACGTTACTGCAGTCAAAACCCATTCAGCCAATAGCACAACTACACCCTCAGATCCCCCATCACAGTGAAGCAATTTATACCACGATAGTAACTGCTCTTCGTCTTACCACCGTCCAACATACCTTTCTGGTATGGTAGGACCTCGAGGGAACAAGTGTGTTGACTAGGGTAGATCACTGGATCATTGCGATATACAAGTATAACCACATCGAGGCAGCAGCTATCGATTGGGTTCAAAGCAGCAGTCCTTATGAGTGGTTTTTACGATAAGTTGTCTCGTACTGACTATCTTAAGCTGTTTGCTAAATCAGTCTTACCCCAGTCAAGACCACAGCAAGCACTGTCTAAACAAGCCTGACTTAAGTCCACACTACTAAAATTGGTCCAACTTCCTGCTCACCAGCTAATTTGCCTTCAGTGCCGAAAACCGCGCTTAACCTCCACCTTTTTTGATAACACATACGATCGAACCAGCAACTCTTTGATCCCTTCCACTTTTAACAGCCACTTCACACAGGTGCGCTTCAGAATAAACCAGACTGCTGTACATTACACCAACCTATCAGCAGATACACAACTTATTTGGTAGTGTTAAACACCATTAGTTTAGAAACTGCAATCTCAACAACCGCACCACTTCCCGACCTACGCTTGAATTAGATGCGATTAGACCAACCCTGAAGCATAACAACACTTCACACAACAGCGCAGCATATCAGAAATCGCCAGACTTTCCCAAAACTGCGAAGACCCTAAATCTTGGCAGTATGCTTATCTTACAGGACTATCATATAACAACAAGAAGATTGTGAGGCCACTAAGTAGAAGACCAATCTCAGACAAATGAGTTAAGTCTGTTGAAGTGGCACAGAAACCAGGACAGTTCAATCATTTGTAACGCTATGGAAGTATGATCCTGGAGGTGATAATAATATTGAAGCATAAAAAGCAACTCCTAATACTTTCACAGCATTTCTTGCATCCAAAGATATTAACAGCTAGCTGTGAAATTTCAAAAAATAAAAACTAGGAACTTTGACACTTTCGCTGTGCATTAATTAAGTTGGTGGTCATGATCTCTTAGAAGCGTCTTCATTTGGAGACAACCAGCCTAGCAAAAAGATAGCCTAAAGCTACTACAAAAAAGATAAGCATGGTTTATATTTATGACACGGGTTGCCACATGTCTAAGCTACGAAGATTGGTTCAAACAGGGACGGACTGAAATACAAAAGGGTTTATGTGAAGTAAGAAATCGATAGAAGTCACACCTAACGGCATAACTAAGTTTTCGTGTTCTGCATAAAGAATGTGAGCCAGATATTGTCAATCTTAAACTGCTTGCTCTGATTGTCTGTCTTCTCTAATGTTAAGGTTTCCTATACCATTCAGTAATTCCAGTCAACGTCCGAATACAAATGTTTCTTATTAGTTCATCAATGCATATTAATGTTGTGTTTCACCATTAAAATTCACATATTTAGATACACTTACCATAAAGAGGTGTCATGGTAACAAGTAAAGAAGTGTTGAAAACTGTGTACCGAACTCTCTTTAAAAAACTTGGCGGCAAGTTTACTAGCAACATTAAACCCTCCACCATAGCTTCTATCCCAGGCACCATGCAAACTGCTAGCAACCATGAGAGCTAGTGTGTCCGGGTTTGACCATCCGGGACCTTCAAATGCCACAGCAGCATGAGCCAGTGGCATAGCATCATCCCTATCACGGATTTCGGAGCCAGTAAAGCGGCAATGTTCGCAGATGGGTATACCCTGTTCATTGTAGGTGGCTGGGTAGTCGCCAAAATGTTTGTCAGCCAGCTCACATAGCTGTTTATGATTAATACCTGGAAAATTCGTGTAAATAAACTCTCAGTTACCTCCTGCAGCGCTAAGTACCATCCGCGAGGCTTTATAATTAAGTTTGACAAAATCACGCATATCTTCAGCTTTCAAAGACTTGACATTCTCAATTGGACCAAGGATTGTTCTTCCAAGAGGAGTCCCCTGGTAAGCAGTTGCATGGAGGTAGTCAAAAACAACTTCTTGGAAATTACTCTCAATTTCCTAAATTCATGTTAAACGAATTAAAACTGCACAAACCTCCATTTCACGTAAAATAACTCCTCTTTCACGCTCAACTTGTGCGCTCTCAAATCTACTATTTTTTAATATGTCTGATAATAACTCCACAGCTGATAAGCATAAGTGAATTTAGTATGTAACATACCCCAAGGCAAGTCTTCGGTAAAACACTTTGCATAATATACAGTCATTTCGCGAGAGGTGTACGCATTCAAATGAGCCCCTTTGTTTTCGACTTCAAGTTCCAAAGACTGCTGGCTTCTTTTATCAGTACCTTTAAACGCCATATGCTCAAGGAAGTGAGCGACCCCATTATTGGAATCCGCCTCCCAACGGCTGCCGACATCCACCCAGACACCAACCTAAATTCTAATGAAACGCATATGGACTTATATACCGTGCATGTAGGTGTATTCCAATTTTCAGACGCTACTCTAAATCCATTACTTCCCAATGTAGTAACTTCAGTCTCCGGCATATGAACTGTTTCAAAGGAAGGCACATAACTAGTAGCAGCTCCAATTTTTCGACGGAAACCCTAGAAATACAAGTATTATACCTAAGTGTTATAAAACGTACTGATGTAATCAAAGGTGACAACGTCCGGGAAACAAGCCGTAGAGCCATCTCTAGCTGGTACCGCAAATTTTCGTTTTTCCGCGCCGGTAGAATGCGACACCACTAACGAGACGTTAATCACCCTGACACAATAACCGATATCTTTCAACGAGCTAGTGTAAACTAATTGATTTCTTCATGCTCCCTTCTAGGTCTTGAGGAACGGTTCCAGATCCTTGATGGATTCCGTTGCGGCAGGCCTACCCACTCGAATACTGTGGCTGTGGTTAGCCCGACGGGCGGTTGGATTTTGTTTGGATTTGTAGCGAGTGTTGGTTGCTCTTTTCTTCAGAGGACCCTGGTGTAGATGGGATAGTCAATTTTCGTGCCAGCGGACAATCGGTCGAACGGGTTGAAAAGAAGAGGTGGAAAACACGTCGAGATAAATCAGAGGAGAGAAAGTGGGGGGAAGAATAAACGATAGAAAAAATGGTTAGGAAAAAGGAAACGAAACGGACGCAGAAATATCGATAGATTCATGGCAGGGGGTGATGGGGAGAGCCTCTGATAAAGTGTGAGAACGTAAAGTCCTCAGGAAGAGAAGGAGAAACTGACATCATAGGACGCCTTGTGGGAATAGAGGTAGTAATTTTATTAGTGGGAGACGGTAACTGGAGGTGACGCCTATAAGGAAGCATAAGGCTGACCCAGTTTTGCAGTGGAAGTGGTGTTACAACGTAGTCAATAATGGGTTGGCCGTACTGAGTTGGTAGGTCTTGTCAGCCTAGTCAGCATCCCAGTTGGATGATCGCAAGCCGTGCGTCTCCGCGTAACTGTACAACCTCTTCTTGAAGCTGTCAATAGACGGAACAGTAGCAATCTCAGCAGAAAATGAGCTTCAGTGGCCACAAACTCGCCGAGAGAAGTGAGGCCGCACACGGTTTTCACTCTTTGGTGGGCGATTCTCCTTGGGTTACCACGAGGATCGCCATAATCGCCGTTCGGTAGGATTCCACTGTTCGGATGACTTGGGTTACTTAGTATTTTGTGTGCCGTTATGAAGTCATCATGTGATCTACGGTAGCTCAGAGAGTACAATCCTAGATCTTCCAGCCTGTCCTGATGTGGTTTTCGCCTCATCCACACGACACCCTTTGTAGCTCTCCTTCGAACTTTCTCTGGGAGGTTCACATCTCCTTTCAGATAAGGTAGTGCAATGACGCTGTGGACCTCTGAGGTCGTATATAGGTCCTGCACAGCTTCAAAAAGAGTTCTGGGGTTAGGGCACCCAGTCGTCTGTGCATGAAGTGCAGTACTGCGCAGGCCCTGGAGGCGTCTCCTGGATAATTGGAGCTAGTTTATCGGTCAGTATTAGTCCTAGATCTTTCTCCGTGGTGGTGTGGGGACGTTGTGTCCCGTAGAGAGGATAGGGTACCTTCTGAGAGTCAGGAGTGCGGAGAACTATGGTTCGGCACTTATCCGGATGAAATGCTGGTCCGTTAATATCCACCCACTCTGCAAGTAATCTGATGTCACTTTGCAGTGCACTTGATTCTGTTCCCGGCGTCACAGCTCTCTATAGCTTGATGTCATCAGCGTACAGGAGAATTGGGGAGCTGAGGTTTGGTGGAAAGTCGTTCACAAAAAGAAGGAATAGCAGCGGACCAAGAATCGCTCCTTGTGATACACCAGATGACGACGTCCTCCAAGTCGAGTAAACTCTGTTGGCTTTTGTGCAGAATTGTCCACCATCTAGATAGTCCTGCAGCCAGGACAGCACTTGTCCTCTGATGTCCAACCTTGCTATTTTGTGAATAAGAATGGTACGTGGGACTGTGTCGGAGGCCCTAGCAAAATCTAAGAAAATAATACGCACAGGAATTTTGAGGTCCCGACATGCCGCCCACTTATCACCTGTTGCCGGAATGTTTGAGGCACAGGATCTACCCTTCCTGAAACCGTGTTGAGCATCACTAAGTGCTCTTTTCCTTTCTAAGTACTCTCCGACACGGCCATCCACCAGGCTCTCCATCAGTTTTGGCACCACTGGTGGAGGGGTTATGAGTCGATTGCATTTTGAGTTCTGCCTGTCTCCTCCTTTGAAGATTGGGGACAGAATGGCACGTTTCCTCTCTCATGGAAGCATGTGACTGTCTAGGCAGTTTTAAAACAGATTACGCAGCGGGCTGCACGAGGCGCCTACGCACTGTTTCAACACAGCCAGCCGGATGCCATTGCATCCTGGTGATTTCCCCGCGCGGAGCTTTGATAGCTTTTCGAGGACCACAGTAGGAGTTACCTTTATTTTAAGTAACTCTACTGCATTTGGTGGTGCTGAATGCTGCTCGTGCAGTTGGAAATTTCTGTTGGATGAAGACGTGTTCAGTTGCGTGTTGAAGGTGGCGCTGAGGGCTTCGGCGACCTTCAGTCCGGAGAGGTTCTCTCCGTTCAGGTCTTCCAGGGCGCAAGCCCCTTGGCTTGTGGGCTTTCCGCCTGCCATGAATCGACGTAGGTTTTTGGGGTTCGCCTCGAGCTTCTGGGCAAGGCTGGTCCAGAATGACCTCCTGTCTCCCCTCATTTTGATACCGCATCGATTTCTTAGGGCAATGTACGCAGTGCGGTCAAACCCTTTTCTGGGGGTCCTCCACTTATGCTATGCCTTCCTCCTGGCTTTCGAAAGGCGTTCAGTGCCCCGCTTCAGCAGTTGGGTTCGCTTCCTCGCTATTGTTGTGATTACAGGGACGTTCTCAAAGATAGCCCTCTTGATGATTTCTCTAACTAGCTCCCAATGTTGATCAATCGACAGGTTGCTCCACTCCTGAGGTCGCGGTGGTATTGATGGGTATTGGTTCATCACCCCGTGGTAGCAAGGACAAGAGCAAGATCCATCGCATGACAGTTGTTAGTTGAGTACCAGATTAAACGCTACCGCGCCGTGATCGCTGCCGCCAAGGGGGGTTAGGACCTGCACATTTTCTACTAGCAGGCGGTCGCTGGTAAGAAGGTAGCCCAGTTTGGACGGCCTTCGGCTCAACCCCCAGCGGGTGTCATCACCAATATTCTCGTGCAGTCCAGCCCTTTTGACGGTGTTGAGTAGGTTTCGGTCGAACCTTCGGCTTGAGGTTCCCCTGTCCCGCCCGAGATTGAGAGTCGGAGCATCAAAGTCGCTGGCTTTAATGACCTGGCCAAATTCGATGTACGTCGCTCCGGACACTACTTGCAGCAGCCGCTCGTTATGTTCCACGCTGCTAGTAGGGGTTCTGTGGACACTCCCTTTCAGGAACTTGGTATGTACAACCTTAAGGTGACACCAGATGGAGTCTGGAGGCCCTGGAAGTAGGGTCTAAGTTGCTCGTGCACCTTTAAGGTCATCGCTTATAAGCATCGCCACTCCGCCTCCTTCCTTGAACTCCCTGTCTCTCCTGAACAGGCCCATACCGCTTATACCAGCTTCGACGTCACTAAGATCCGGTGATAACCAAGTTTCTGTCAGGATTATGATCGTTGGAGCAAGTCAGGAACAGAGAGATCGTAATTTCCCCATCTCACCTCTAAGTCTTCTCACATTGCCGTAGAGACGCTTGGATATGTTTCCAACAACACGGGGTGTCTCGGTGGTGGCGGACTGAAGAGGGTCGTGCGCAACGGCGAAATTTGCTACGGGAAGGCCGGCTCTAGTGGAACCGGCCCAGTCACGTTTATTCCCACAGTGGTTTCTGGGGTTTTTATAGAGTCTAGTCTTGCCTGCTGATAGTGATGGTGACTTCAGCACTGGGCGGAGCTATCGTTTGCTGTTACTGCAGTGTCATGGACCTGCTTTCGCAGCAGCGAACGCTCACGCTGGCGTTATCCTTTACTGTGTACCAAGTTTGCAGTACTTTGGTTGAAAGTTCTTGACAGCCGGAGTTAACAGCCATCAACTGAGGTGATATTATCGTCGTTAACTATGAGGGACGTGGTAGTCTGCAGACCGCCGCCGCCGCTATCTTATTTTGCCCTATCCTCGCTGACAATCACTGCCATTGCTGGACGTCGTGAGGATACTTTCCTACCACTGTGCCGGTTATTAGTTTCGGTATGCCGTGGACAACCATGGTCGTTGATTTCAGAGTGTTAGGCGCTTTACGGGATACTTTCCTCGCTGGCCATGGCTGGTATGACCCAGCCCCAATGCTGAGTGACCTGTTGATGACTAGTGTGTGTGACAGCAACAAGAATCTCTCCTCATCACACAGACTGTGCCACACTTACTGCGGATGTCACACCTAAAGGCAGCATCCCTCCTGGCTACGGTGAGACCACACGTATGGCAGTCATCAGTCTAAATAGAACTTTTAGTTGACAACTTTCTCTTCCTTCACCGCCGCCTCTCAGTAGTAGCCTTCATAGGTGGACTGGGGTTTGGTCTGGTGGTACCAGGAAGACATGCTCTTCGATGAACTACGGCAAAAGGGTTTAGAGGTACAGGAATCCGACTTTTCCCAGGAAGTAGTTGTTTCAGATGTCTTCTTGAGGTCGGCCCGCGGTCTTTTGCGGCGGCACTAAGCCTCTTGCCTCCGGCCCTAGTCACTGCCAAGCATGAGGAGGTTTGTAGCTGAGGTGAGGCCTTACCTGAGATGTTCCCGGTACCGGAATCGGTCAGGACTCGGTTATCACTCACTTCCACTGGTGATTAGGAGGGGGTATAAATAAGATAGATACAGACGGTTGTATCAAGTGAAACGTAGAAGGGCGATGATAGATACCTACCTAGGATTGCCGAGTTGTGCGATACAGAAGAGTACCCGAAGCTTTACATAGGTCCAAGGTGTATGACCGAATGAGATAAGTAGAGCAGCAGTTACAGCAGTCGATTGGAGCAGTTAGACATGTCACACAGTTGTCTGTTTGCAAAGTGATGGTGCTGACCGACGAGTATTGTACGTCCTGTGGCGAAACATTCTTCCAGTGAAGTTGCTGCTTTCGCAGAGGAAATATCCGATTGCAGAGGCTTATATACGGTTGCTTCAGAGTAGAATGCAGACGAAACAAAACACGGCGGTATTCAAAGAGTGCACGTTAGAATAGTGAAAAAGAAAGTGTGACTGAAAATGATCTAAACTCTAACACTTGGT